AACTGACATGCCTTCATTGCGGGATTCTTGCTGAGACTGTCTTCATGTTTACTGGGATGGGCAGGGGGCAGAAAGAGGAGATGAGCAAAAAAGAAAATTTGGGAAATGAACATTTTATCTCATCGCAATGTCTGTAAAATTGTTGGTCTTAAGGGAATAAATACACTAAATTCAAAGATGAGGAAAAAAAAGAGTAAATTTTACAGAGCTTTAGTAAACACCAGATGTTGAAAGAGAATCTTACCAGATTAGTCTTCTACAGCTTTCATCTTTAAGAGACGAATTACAACAAAGAACCAAAATAAATATTAAGAAATCATAGTGGACAAGAAGTGCGAGTGCAGAGCTATAGATTTCAAAACAGAAGACACACCCAGGGAGCCACTGTCAATGTGTCCCTTCACTCTCCAGGGCTGCTGCTCTGGGTCATTCTGCTCCCACAGGATCTGCTGGTCTCTGTCCTTTGCTCTCGCCTCCCTTCTCCCAATAGACATGCACACTTACATTTTCAGGATCCAAGGAAGGGAACAAAGCTTGATTTTCTAGGTCAATCAGAGCAGCAGGATAGCCAATAAAGGTTGATACTTCTGCTAATCCTCAACATGGAACTCTGGATTCTCATCTGAAGACTAAGAACATCTTTAACTCTGAAGAATTAGAAATAAGACAAGAACTATAATTGAACTACATATCTAACATAAGAAAATGAAGAAATGTTGATCATTGGACTTATTTGGTTCACTAGTGTATTTTTATGACTTGAACCCCCATACAACACTATAGTATTTTTCTTATGATTTAATAACCAATTTAAACATAAATCTCATTTATATTAAGTATAAAGTAGAGATGGAAATTAAAAGTAATATGCCAGAGTGGGATGTTACAAATACATGACGTCTTATTAGACAAATACATCTGTTCTTGTAGATCAATGAGGTGCAAAATGGACATAGCTTCAAAGAAGATGTTGCGTTCTTGTATTGTATTTTTATAATATCAAAATTATTACAATGTTTACTGTAGAAAATTTAGACAGGGAGAAAAACAGGAAACAACAAAGTTACCTTTCATCTCTATCCACCACTTGTGATAATCACAGTCAATATGTTGGTGAACATCTTACCAAGAGGCAGCATTGTAGAGAAAGACATTGATTCATTATGAAAATATGACATTATATGCTGTTTAATAAAAATTTCTTCACTTAATAATATATAGTCATTTCCCATGTATATTACAATGTATGCTAAACCTTTTATGCCCAATATAAAGCAACACTAAATGTAAGATAGCTCCTATTTTCCCATTGGAAAGCCAATTTATTTAGTTACAAAGACTTACTTAAAATCACGTATTTTAACAAATACTAAATTTATTTTAAAATGTTAATTTTTAAAAATCTCACAGTTCATGAAATGTCATTAATTTTTAACATTGGAGACATTTTTTTGAGTCAACAGTTTTTCAGAGCCCATCATCTATACTTTTGTATCTGTTTATGATGCTGTTACTGGAAATTTTATCCCAAGATATAAGTATTCATTTACATAACATTAAGACTTTCAGTATTTTTATTACTCTGCACAATATAATCATTTATCATATTGCTTTTAAAAGTGATCTTGTTTACCACAATATCAACACTTGGAATTACGTGGTCAGACTCCAGGAATAACTATTAAATATGTTAATTTCCACTGGTTTTTTTTTTTGTTTTTTACCATTTCTGTCTTAGTAACTCTCTCTCCCTCTGCATCTATCTATCTATCTATCTATTTATCTATCTATCTTCATCATCATCATCATCATCTATCTAAATATGTACACACATAAAACTAACATCAATGAAGTCTATTTGGGGCTAATATCCTCTCTCGGTCCCTGCAATTCTATTCAAGAAAAGGAGTTGAGAAAGCACCTTTTGAAAGGATCTCTTTTAAGCTGGTTCGTTCTTTTGGAGGGGTCATTTTGGGGTAAAGAAATTTACCTTATATTTGAGCATGTAGGTCATAGGAAAGGGAATGGTAGGGTCATGTGAAATAGGTATTTGAGTTTTTCTGCTTGTTTGTTTAATTCTTAATAAAACCTTTTCATACTCCACAATCAGAACTTTTTCTAAAAAAGAATATCTAGTCCAAAAGTGAAAAGTCAGTTATCTATTATATAACCTAATCCTTTCATTTTGTAAATGAAAAAATAGGGTGACTAAGAGGCTAAAGGACCCTCTCAAGTCCCACATTTACAGGGAAGCTTCAAATTAGGGAGGTCTTCTAGCAGACAGCATTGATCTTGACTCAACACCGTATTGAAATGTAGACTTTTGTATAAAACAAATTCATCCTAATTTTTTTTCACAAATTTAGAGACATGCAAAGAACCAATTTTAAAAATTCCACCAGTCTAGTAAACTCTACTTCAGGATAATTTCCCCTCAAGATCCTCTTAAGAAATCCTGTACTACTTGTTTTCTAAGACAATGAGGATAAACTTCTCTGCTCTTTCTATTGAGAAATACTGCCCTTTATTATCTGGATGAACACTGTTTCTTCTATCATACTTCCTTATTTAGGGAAAATTACTTAGAGGAACTAAGCTTAAACTTCTTTTCCTAGTCTTTCACCTCCATATATATCTGGATTCTGGAAAAGCATTCATTCATTTATTCATTCAACAAACTTATATCTATTGAGTCATCTGCTACTTTGCTCTGAAACTGTGTGTAACAAATGTAAAAAGGGAAACGAATGTAAAAAGATGAAATTTGTGGTAGTCCCTAGAGCTAGTCTCAATATTCCAGTCCTTCTCTTTCTAGGTATATGATATGATTAAATTGCATTTCTCCACCTCCTTCCCAATAGATATTACTTTGTTATTTGTTTGTCACAATTTAATTGTCCATGCTTGACTCTGCCGGCTCTCGTTTCCCTGCCATGGAAGCATATCAAGAGGGAAACTTTGTGATCTGTGTCCCTTAGTGACCACAACAAATATAGCTCTTCCCCTGGCCAATGTTGGACAAGTCGGATGAGAGAATTAAACTACTGAGATTTTACCACAGCTTAACTTAGCCTATCTTGAGGGATAGAAAGTCCTTGCTTTCAAGATCCTCTTAATTGAGTGGAGTAGATAAACATTGCACTTACACTCTAATCAGACCTATTATAAAAATATCCTTGTATATGATGGAAGGACTAAGGAAAGAATTTCATGAGGTTGATAAGAGATCAGATTTAGGAGTCAGATGGCCCTCAGCTGAAATCTTTACTCCTCTATCTTTTAGCTGTATCTAAGTTATTAAACTTTCCAAGTTTTCCTTTCTATGTTATAGAATATGGATACTCTTACTATCTATATATTGATCTATCTATCCATCTATCTATATACCTATCATCTATCTATCTCTCAGGGTAGTTGTAGTAAGTAGATGAGCTGCATGATAAGCACTCAATAAAAGGTAGCTGCTACTATTATTATTATTATTTTCTAAATCTGTTTTTGGTATAGAATAGGTGATAATGGTCTGACACAGCTTCATAGAAGTTATGCTGAACAGAATCCTGAAAGCTGAGGAGTGAGGAGATGGTAAACTGTGAAAGAGGCATTTCAGGCAGAGGCATGGGCAAATATGTTAGGTGAGGAGATATTACGGATAGAGCACAAGTGAGTAGTGAGATGTGAAGCTGGAAAAGTAGGCTAGAACTGAAGGGAAAAAGACCTGCCTATGATGACTAGGAAGTAGTGATTATCCTGATGAAGCGAAAAACATTAAATGCTTTAAGATCAAATTAACATTTTAGAAAGATCATTCAAGTAGTAAAGTGAAAGAGGGGTTAGAAGAAAACATGAGATTGGGAACAGAAAGACCTATAAAGAAGTGACTGATGTCTTCCAGGAAGAAATGTGAGTGTAGAATATACTGATCATAATTGAAACCACCACAGATGTGTGTCACTTCACAAAGAGGAATTTCTTGATGGCAGGGCTAGGAATGGAAACCTAGATATTGATAACATTCAAAGGGCTACATGAAGCAAACTATTCTTGGGGAGAAGAAGGACAGGGAGGAGGAGAAAGGTAAAAACCAGGAGGCTTGGTTATCAGGGATGTCAGGGTTGGGGAGAACGTGAGCAGGGGATGACCAACACTGTGGAACACAGCAGAAATGCAAAGCAAAGTATTGTCTGAAGAGTCTTCAAGTCATGTGAGGATTAGGAGGTCATTGCTGATTTGCATGGAAGAATTTTGGTAGATTGGTGGTGGTTAAATCCAGATTGCAAGAAATAAATGAGGGAGGGTGATGCTGGTGTGGAAATAAAGTGGGTGAGTGTAGACAATAATTTCAAGAAGTTCGGCTATAATCAAAGGGGAAAAGTGAAGACATAGTGAAGAAAGTCTGTTTTTTTTTTTTTTTTTTTTTTTTTTTAAATAGGAGAGGTTTGAACATATGTATGATTTGGAAGTTCCTCTTAGACCCAGGCAAATGGAGCTCCTGCCCAGGGTCTACACTTTAAAAGGACCCCCTTTGCCCTGTTGCTACATCTATACCCAAGGCAAGGAATCTGCAGTCTGAAGGGATACACCCTGCTGAAGAGAATTCTGCGTCCAAATGTCTCTGATCACACTTCCAGAACCTATGTAGACTTCTTTCCTGAATTTGTCCTCCTGAGGTCCGGGGCTGCTAGGTTTGGGGGCTGGCCACGGAATAGCTATTGTGAAGGAGGAGAGGTGGATGGGTGGGAAATCTGAGTCTAGAAATTCTAAATTCAAACCTGGACTTCCAGGTCATTATAAAGCAGAAGCTGTCAAGGTAAGATAATATAATATATCTAATGGTTTGTTAGCTCGATTGATTTATTTTTTAAAAGCATTGAGGTAAAGTTGACATACAATAATCTGCACGTATTCAGATTGTACAATTGATGTTTTGACATATGTACTTATAGACTCCTGAGACATTACCACGATCCAGATAGTGAACATATCTATTATCTTCAAAGGTTCTCCTGTGCCTGTGTAATGCCACCCTCCACACCCTCCTGCCTGCTGTGGTCCCAGGTAACCACTTATTTGCTCCTATCACTCTGGATTAATTTGCATTTTCCAGAGTTTCATATAAATGGAATCATATACCATGTCTGCTTTTTGTTTGTTTGTTTGCTTGCTTTTGGTCTGGCTAACTTTCACTCAACATAATTATTTTAATAATCATTATTGCATTTTTGATAGTTTATTCTTTTTTATTGTTGAGTAGTATTCCATTATATGTACACACTACAATTTGTTTAGTCACTAACCTGTAGGTAGGCATTTGTTTCCAGTTTTTGTCTGTAAAAAATAAAGCTTCTATGCACATTTTCATACAAGTTTTTGTGTGGACATATGCTTTCTTTTCTCTCAGGTAAATACTAGCAAGTAAAGGGTAGGAGCATACAGTAGGTGTATGTTTCCCTTTTTAAGAAACTGCCAAACTGGCTTCCAACGTGGTTGTACTATTTGACATTCTGACCAGCAGTGTATAAAAGTTCCAATGCTTCCACATGCTCCACAACATTTGGTACAATCAGTCATTAATTTTAGGCATTATAATAGGCGTGTAGTGGTATCTCACTGTAATTTGCAGTTCCCTAATGAATAATGATGTGGGCATATTTTTCATGTATTTATTTGCCATACATATATCTTCTTTGGTAAAACGTCTATTCAAATCTTTTTAAAATATTTTAATTGGATTATTTGTTTTCTTATTGAGTTTTGAGAGTTTTCTGTGTATTTTAGATGGAAGTCTTTTATTAGACATATGCTACACAAATATTTTCTCCCAGTCTGTGGCTTACCTTTTCATTTTCTTAATAGTGTTATTTGAGAAGCAGAAGTTTTTTATTTCCATGAAGTCCAACTTATTTTTTTTGTTTTAGAAATGGTCCTTTTGGTATCATATCTCAGAAATATTGGCCTAACCCAAAGTCACAAATAGGTTTTATCCTAGAAATTTTATGGTTTTAAGTTTTACGTTTAGGTTTATGATCCATTTTGAATTATTTTTTGTATACAGTGCAAGGAATGGATCAAATTTTCTGTACCATTTGTTGAGAAGACAATCCTTTTCCACTGAACTGCTATTGTACCTTTGTAAAAAAAATCAATTTTTAAAATATTTTTAGGGATCCATTGTGTTTCATTGATCTGTGTCGCTATCTTGAAGCCAGTACCAAATTATCTGGAGTACTATTGCTTTATAAGTTTTGAAATCAGATAGTGTTAACCCTCAAGATTTATTTTTCTTTGTCAAAGTTGTTTTGGCTATTCTACGTCTTTTGTATTTCTATATAAATTTTAAAATTGGCTTGTTAATTTCTACTGAAATGCCACTGGAATTTTGCTTATGGTTGCATTGAATATATAGACCAATTTGGGGAGAATTGATAGCTTAACAATATTGAGTCTTCTGACCCATGAACAAATTATATCTCTCCATTTTTTTAGATCTTTTAATAATTTACTCAACACCACTTTGTTGTTTTACTGTACATTTCACATCTTTTGTCAGATTTATCCCTAAGAATTTCATTTGATGCTATTGTAAATGGTTTTGTAAAAAAATGTGGTTTCCTATTGTTCATTACTAGTATTTAGAAATACAAATGATTTTTATATATTGATCTTGTATCTTGCAAACTTGAAAAACCAGCCTGTTTTGACTAACAGCTTTTCGGTAGATTTCATTAGACTCTATATTGACAATAATATCAACTACAAATTGTCAGGTTTATTTCTTTATCATATGAATGCCTTTCTCATGTGGATAATTACAATGGCTAGAACCTCCAGTACAATGTTGAATGTTGAATGGATGTGGGAAGAGCGGACATGCTGGTTTTTCTTCCTGAACTTAAGAGGAAAGCATTTAGTCTTTAACCATTAAGAAGTTATGTTACCTGTATTTTTTGTAAATATCCTTTATCAGGTTGAGGGAATTATTTTATATTCCTAGTTTTTTAATTTTCTCTTAATCAAGAATGGATATTAGATTTTGTCAGAAGTTTTTACTACCATTATTGAGATTACAATTTTTTCTTTTCATTGTGTTAATATGATGAATTACATTGATTTTCAAATGTTAAACCAACTCCACTTTTTTAGGATTAATCCCTATTTGGTTATGATATATTATTCTTTATATATATATATATATATATATAGTTGGATTCTATTTACTAAAAATTTGTTTACAATTTTTGCATCCTTGATCATGAGGTATATTGGTCTTTATTATTTCCTTCTACTTACTTTGGGTTTTATTTGCTTTTCTTTTTCTAATTTCTTAAGGTGGAAACTGAGATCATTGTCTCGATCTCTTCTAATATAGTCATCATTAGTGCTATAAATTTTCCCATTATGTCATCATTAGTGCTATAAATTTTCCCATTATGACTGCTTTCTGATAGATATATTTTTAAATTTTTATTCAAGTTAAAATGTTTTCTAATTTCCCTTCTTCTTTCTTCTTTGATCCATGGGTTATTTAGAAGTGTATTATTTTTTAAATAGTTGATGATTTCCAGAGATTGTTTTGTTATTAATTTCTCCTTTAATTCCATCATGGTCAGGTAACATTTTTAGGACTTCAATGCTTTTGAATTTATTGAGACTTGTCGTATGGCCTCAACTCTGGTCTGTCTTTGCAAATAGTCTGTTTCGTCTTGAAAAGAATGTGTCTTCTGATGTTGAGTGGAGTGTTTCAGAAATATTCTTTGTTGAGTTTGTATATTAGGTTGCTTGAAGTTGTTCCACAGCTAACTGATACTCTTTAATTTTTTTACATTATTTTTTCATGTTTGTGTTTCATTTTTAATAGTTTTTTTTATTATGTTCTCAATTTACTAATCTTCTCTTTTGTGATATCTAGTCTACCTTTAGTCCTATTCAGTTTATTTTTCATCTCACTCATGGTAATTTTTATCCCTAGAAGCTATATCTGGGTCTTTTTTATATCTTTCATGTTTCTACTTAATTTTGTTAACATGTTGAGCACAGTCATTATGACCACTTTATTGTCCTCTACTAATTCTAACACCTGTGTTAGTTCTGGGTCAATTTCATTTTCTTGATTACTTTCATTACGGATCATGTTTTCCTGCTTATTTGCAAGCTTGGTAATCTTTGACTGGATGCCATACATTGTGAATTTTATGTTTTTGAGTGCTAGATATCTTTTGTATTCCTATAAATAATCTTGAACTTCATCCCAGGATACAGTTATTTGGAAATAGTTTGATCCTTTCTGGTTTTTCTGTTGTGACTTGTTTGCTGGGGCTAGTTTAGTGCTCAGTTTAAGCCTAAGTTCTCCTCCCCACTGAGGCAAGACCTTCGTGAGTGGTCCACCTAATGACCTGTGAATGATGAGTTTTCTTAGTCTGGATGATGGAGAAAGACACTCTTCCTGACCCTGTGTTAGTGCCAGGCATGGTTCCTGATGTTTTCCCTGGACTTTGGGGAGTTTCATCAAGTACATGCACTGATAATTTCTCTGCTGAACACTCAAAGGATCCTCTGCAGACACCCAGGGTCCTATTTCTGTGAAGCTCCCTCCTCCGTGTCTGAGCAGTGAACTCCAGCAGCCTTATTCTCCCTATACACTCAGCTCTGTCTCTTCAAGTCAGGGAGCTACTGGGTCCTCCCGGACCCTGCCTCCTCTGCGTGGCCTGAGGACTCTCCCTAGGCAGTCAATTAAAGAAACTATAGGTTCACTCATTTGTTCCCCATCTCTCAGGGATCACTGTCATTTGTTGACTAGTGTCCAAAGTCTTAAAAAATATAGTTTCATATATTTTGTTTGTGTTTTTGGAGGGGAATTTGTTTCAGGTGGGATAGCAAATCCAGTTGCTGTTACTTCATCTTGGGTAGAATCAGAAGGTTCTGTTAGCTTGAGATATACATACATACATATATATATATTTTTTTTTAAATATTTAAAAATATTGTATGTAGGCCTCCATTTTTACTGTTGCCCCAGACTCAGCAAATGTTATAGTGGGTTTAGAGAAAACAGAGAAAGGAGTATTAACATGCATGGAAAAAAAGAGAGATAATTGATATAATAACAAAGTGTCAAAGGGAAGGAATTAGTACTCTCAAAATTTTTACAGAAAGGAGATAACATAGGATATTTGAGGAATGTGGTTCGTAATATATGCTGTCACTATTTGGAGCTGTTGCTGTTTGTTGGCAGATAAAAGGCTTACTGACCCATGGCAATAGCAGAATTGCTTTTGAAGGACTTACATTTTTGATAGTTAATGCCAAGTTTTTATTTTCCTATGGTTTTTAGCAGTCCTGGCATAGAGTAGAACAGCAAGTTGGCTTAATTTGTCTATGTCTTATGTGGAGAAAAGAAAATAATGAAACACAGATTTTGTCTGGATATGGAAGAAATTAGAAGAAAATTAACAAATTTAGGAATAAATAAATGGGTGAACAATAACTAGCTTTTATTTATCACTTACTATGTTCCATATCTACACTGTGCTAAATGTTCCAGATTCTCTCATTTTATCCTCACAACTACTGTATTAGGGGGGCATGAGTATCTGCTAGATTAAACATAATTCCACTTTCTTTAGATGAGGAAATTGAGGCTTTCTTTAAGTTTGTACAGCTAAGAAGCAACTCATCCAGGATGTGGATCCAAGTGGATGGGTTTGAAAGCCCACACATTTAGCCACTGACTATATTTCCAATGAGGTTAAAATGGAAATGGATTAAAATACACAAGAAGGCTGGCAGGATTGAGGGTTGTGGTCAAAAAGCAGGATGTTAATGTTAAAGATGTCAGAGGCAGAGCTGCTTGGGTGATGTTGGACCTAAGGTGGGTGGCTGCAGTAGAGCTGAGGTTAATGTAATTGGAGTTAAGGTAATTTAAGAACCGTTAGGCAAGGTTTTGTGTAATTCATGTTCATAGATATTAAAATCACCCATGAGGCTGGCTGAATTTCAGGAGGAGAGTAAGACTAATGAAATTTTATTTTTCAATTTTGTCACACTGGCTGGCTTTCTCT